ACCTGAGGAACCATCTTCAGAGAACCAAAGCAGAGCTGGCAGAGGTTAAAAAACAGGGCATTCAAAATGGCAAGCGAGCAGAGTGTCTGGCTGAGAGCTTGGTGATGGTTGAGGGGGCGCTGGATAGGCGTGGTATGAAAACCGAAGACCGTGGTGGAGAAACAAAAGGAAAAGTTATGGATGTAAACCAGAGCGGAGGAGGAGCAGCGATGTTCAAGTTTGATGGAAGAGGAGTTGGAGGCAAAGTAACAAAAAAAACAGAACCAAAAGCTGCTAAACTGGTGGCAGACCTGACTGATATAAACTTTGAAGACTTTAAGGTAGTCAACAGATGGACATTGACCAAAGGGTTTGGTTACACTTGATGTGCTTTACTGGTGTCAATATGTGATGTCAAAAAGGCAGTTGTTGTAAATCCTCTGTTCTGTTTCGTTTCAGGCCGACCAGCTAACAGAAGAGCAGATTGCTGGTAAGACGACACAGAGGCTGTTTTTTTACTATTCAGCGTTGGTTTTTAGCATGGTGTCTTCATATATTATTATTATTTTTTTTTTTTCTTCAGAGTTCAAGGAGGCCTTCTCCTTGTTTGATAAAGATGGAGATGGTACCATCACCACCAAAGAGCTTGGTACCGTCATGAGGTCATTGGGTCAGAACCCAACTGAAGCTGAACTGCAGGACATGATCAATGAGGTGGACGCTGATGGTACGCTACTGACTGAGTTCAACCCTTCCATCGATCTCATGATATATTTATACCTCACGCTTAATTTGGTGCTGAGCATGATTATTGCGCAGCACCTACTTCCTATAGTTTTTTTTTTTAAGTTCTTTTTTGAAGACTGTTGACTGCAGTCCCCATTATTTTTATATATATATATATATATAAAAATCCTGGGGCATCATGGAAAATTAACTTAACATTTCCCAGGAACCCTTAATGGATTAAAAGAAAGCTGTTATGCTTGTGTTTGCCAGGCAATGGAACCATTGACTTCCCCGAGTTCCTGACAATGATGGCACGAAAGATGAAGGACACAGACAGCGAAGAGGAGATCAGAGAGGCCTTCAGAGTCTTTGATAAGGTGGGTTCTGGCTGTGTGTGCATATGTGTGTGTGTTTGCATGCGCTAATGTGATGTGCTTTAATTTACCAACCATGTGCGCCCTGTTCAGGATGGCAATGGATACATCAGTGCAGCAGAGCTTCGTCATGTGATGACCAACCTGGGAGAGAAGCTGACGGATGAAGAAGTAGACGAGATGATCAGAGAAGCCGACATCGATGGAGATGGACAGGTCAACTATGAAGGTATTGTAGAGATGCAACATGTGGCATTAACTGATTTTTTTAAAACAAAAACAATGCTCTTATTGGTTTATTTTTCTCTCTCTCCCACAGAGTTTGTTCAGATGATGACCGCCAAATGAACTGAACTTGCAAAGAATCAGTCAAATGTTTCACTTACCTCTTATTGCAAAAATCTACATTTAATCATACTGTTCTGTATAGACAATTTAAACTGAATGTTGGAATACTGAAAATCTGTCCATATAAACAAGTTAAAAAAAAGGTAAAAGAAAAAAAAAATTTAAGTAATCTGCATGTACTGGCTTGTATTCCCCAACCTCCTCCTCGCTGAGCTGACCAATCAGATCTCAGCTCGTTAGACGAGCAGCCTGTGCAGCTGGCTAGTTTGGTCGCTGCTTCCTGGTTCCATCTGCCTGAAATCATGATTATTTGGGTGGGTCACCTGCCTTTTCTTTAAAGTCCTGTTCTGTTTTCCTTTCCCTTCATGCATGCAGCGTTAACATGGGTTACTGTGGAGATCTCAGTGACAGAAGGCTGTTGTTAGGCCTCAGAGGAGGAAGAGCTGGTTCAGAGGGATGGGAGCGAGCGAACTGATGGGATGTTCGCTCGGCTAAATAATGTCAGAGACAGAATATTTTTAAGAAAAATTAAAATGGAATAAACAACTAATTTTAGATTTTGTGTTTCTGGCATGTCTATTAATCACTTTATCCTTACCTTTTTTTTTTTTTTTTTTTTTTTTTGAGGGCGTATTGCCCCTTTGGCAGTCTTTGTCTTATCCAATATGGAGGAATGGGCGGGCTTTAGAGGCAATTATATACAAGCACAGTTTCTGAGTCAATGTTTGCACCAATGCTTGTACCAGTGTAAGTATTAGTTCGGATGTTTACAGACACTGAGTAGAGTAAAATAAGAGTTATCTTTGCAGACTGGTGCAGGCAGTTGTCTTGTAGACTGTGCATGTATGGCTCCACTTGGGTGGGTGGGGGTGAGTTTCAGCTTAATGGGAGGGACAGGGTCGGCGCTTTGCAGCATTTCTACCTTGTTTTTGTGTGTGAGTTTGCCTGTGTGCGTGTGGGTGCAGCGCGGCCCGACCCAGTCCAGTCCAGCTGTTCTGTTCGGTTCAGTTGATCTGCATTCCAAGATGTACAATGCTAGTCTTTACATTTTGTTTTTCCAATAAAATATCATGAACTAAAGGTGCTGGGTGTTTGTGTTTGTAGAGGAGTTGACGTGTGTTTTCTCCCTGTGGATCCGCGGGGGTGGTGCAGCTTGAAGATGACTAATCAAAGCTTTCTGACTGCCTGTGATGTCCTGCCGAGAGCCCACCAAACATATCGTTGAAAGGGGCCTCGATTCTTAAATATAAGTTGTGCAAAATCCTCATAAAACCATGATTTTCCCCATGAAGGCTGGAAATCCTTACATTTTTAAAAATTGACAAATTATTCTGCGATTCATTTGGGTGTGTGTTGTGAAAACTGGATCACCACAAATGGTTGCCGAGGAGTTGTTGCTAGGCAACCTAAACATGGATGGAGGAGAAAGGGGCAGCAGAAAACCGTGGGAGTTCGAGGAGAAAAGCTTTTGACAATTATAGAATCAGAGGCAGCATAATAAACTTACAGAAACAACCTTATTTTCAGTGTGATTCATACCTCTATCAGTAGTATAAATCTGGACTGTAAGATACCAGGTTTTTGTACGATTCAGAATTGTCCAGGATAAGTGTAGGAGGTGCTGGATGCGTTTCTCACACTAGCTGCAGTTATGTAACTGGGGAGTAGTTTTTAGAATACTGATCCGTGCTGGCAGTCCCATTTTCTAATGTAGATTTTATTTTTGTATAGTTGCTTTCAACTGGGGACAAGACTAATTCCTGGTAATGTCACTGTATGAGAATATGTATTTAAGAAAATTATTTAAAATAGAAGTGTCAGGTAAAGTTTGGGTCATGCTGTGATCTCAACAGTCATCACAGCTCTAATTTAACGCTTTATCAGGAAATTTGTTGCAGCTGCTGTTTTGGAACATGGGTTGTGTTGACCCAGTTTAGGTCCAGCTTGAGCTGTTGTACAGATGGTTTCATGTTTGACCCTAAAATACCTAAAGCGTTCATTGACTGTAAGATCCACACTTCCTGTATCTGCATAACAAGCTAGGATCTTTACTGAAAACCATGTCAGAGTAACAAGTTTATGCTAATATGGTTATTATTCATCCAGATGTCTCCCTTTTGCCAAAGACATTCTCCATGACATCTTAATGCTATGCACCATTGTAAACCTATTACTGCCCTTATTTCATGCTTCTTTTTTTTTTTTTATTCCCTATGTTGTAACTATGGCTCAATGGAGCTAACATTCATGGAAGGTGTACTTCTCTTGCCAGTAAAAAGTCATGGGCTTGATTCTAGCTTACCATGAGTGACTGCAAGGGTCTGTGTATGAACAGGTGTAGATGAGTGACTGTTCTTCTCTTTTGAGGCCATTTTGTTGTATTTCTTTGCTTCTTGGTGTCTGGTTGGTGTTTTGATCAAGCTTTAGTTGAAAAGTTGGAGAAACATATTCACCCAAAATAGTTTGGGAAGTCTATAGCATAACTCAGAAACAAAGCAAGCCCAGATCACTATCCCTCCCACACCATGCTTAGCAGGTGCTGAGAGGCGTTCAGTCCTTTCCTAGATTTTAACATTAAACATAAGACTGTAGAGTCTTAATTTGTAGCTGTTTTTACCTATGAGCACAGCAGAGTCTGGCTTTCTGGTCAATTTGCTGATGTGATGGACTTCAAATGGTAAATAAACAGGCTTATAACTACACTGGGAGTAATGGGCAGTTGCTTATCCATTTCTCCTTTGCATTATGCAGAAGTATATTTCCTAGACCAGGGCCTAAAACCTGTGCTCTTTGGAACATCTGCGATGGCTCTTAATAGTGGTCTAAAATTATATAAGGAAACGACTAATGTAGTAGAATAAGGTATACCAGCCCTGGAAGCTTTATTGGCTTTAAAAATAATGTTTGACTTTTCACTATAGAATCACATTAAAATACCAACAACATTTTTAGATGTTTGTCATTAGCTTGGAAATTTTTTTTATTTTATTTTTTTACATAAAATACTATGGAGAAAAATCTATATGAACCGTTTTTCCCAGATTTAAGATGCAAACTGTTGTTCAAAATGGAAAAAAAAAAATTCCAATATCATACATTTATCAAACATAAGTTTTTTTAGATTTGCATTATTTCTGGCTCTAAACCTTTTATCAGCCAGGTTGAATTTTAAAGGCTGCAGACCCTGTACTAAGCCAAAAAAAAAAAAAAACATATTTAAGAGGTGCTAACACTGATTATGGTTAATATGAGTGCATTTAATCAGTATCTAGGTGCCACTTCTCTTTTTTTGAAAGAATAAGTGTTTGCATAGATCTCCTTTAAAAACTATCCTTTATGATCACCTACAAACAAACCGTTTTTCAGCCAGTCTCCAGCCCCATGGGTGACCTTCCTGAGAGATTAACTGCTGGTGACACCTGAGACACAAGCTGAGACTTCAGTCCAGCAGGGGGCTGGGGCTTCCTGACACTCCAGGACAAAACCTGTCAGCGCTGTGATCCTCTGGAACAAAGGAGGACACACCTGAGAGAGTAATGGACGCCGCTGGCCCCAGGGTCACAGCCAGAGGGAACACCACACACAGCTTTACAGAGGATCTTTATTATCATTTCAGTCACTGATTTACAGCAAATACAACTCTGATTAAACTGAACCCGTTCATCTCCTCACTCTGCCCACAGCTTCACTGTGTATAATCATAACTTACTGTCTGAAATATTAAAACATGAGGGTCAATCAAATATACATCAATAACTCTTTAAATTTATGATAAAAAAAATCTAAAGGAAAAACTAACCTGGCTGTGACAGGATGCAAAGACACAAACAAGATGGATGCTTTTACATAGAAAACCTGGTTGTTGAAACAGATCCCGTTTATCAGCAACAGCTCTCTTATGTGCATATTGTATTCTGTAATCTAAATAACAGCATGCGTTGACATGATAAAAATTCCCACAGAAATAATAAAATAGTCCATTAATCTGTCTGAATTCATACAGATCTTTTTTTGGCATTTATTGACTAATTGATCCAATGATCATGTCTCCAGTGGATGGTACAGTAACAGCAATCCGCTCTGGTTTAACAGCAGCGGGTGAATCTGTTGTTTTATCCAGATGTTTGGCTCTTAAAGCAAACGTAGAAGCATTTATTTTTTCCTGGCAGTAATGGGATTTTAAAACCAACCTGTGTTTCTTTGGACAAAATAAAGTGTAAACAAAATCTTAGGCTTTCGAATGCAAACGTTATTGTATGTACAAGGACAATGGTGCACAAACGAGACGCAGGAAAACATGTCGGCGCACACCAACACAAAGCAGAGGAAAATTATATTTGCATTTATGTACATAGTGTGAGAAACATCTGCACAGCTGTTTACACTTAGTCATGTGTGTAGGGAGCAGTTTGCAGATCCCTGGTTTATGATGGCGTCTCATAGTGCTCGGGGAATGATGGTGAAAGGCAGGATGGGGCTGCTGGCCTCCAGCTCCAAGGCAGTGAGGAAACACTCAGTGGCGGCAGCGGCGTTCCCCTGAGCCTGCAGCACCTCGCCCAGACTGTTCCACACGTCGTGAGCCGTGCTGCGAAACGACAGGAACATATTTATTTTTCTCTGATTAAATGCAGGCAAGCAAAAGAAGATTCTGGCATCCAGAACATTAGATAAAAAATAAATTTATTGAAAGATTGTGTTTAAGAAACAGAATCAAGCAAAGGAAATAATAGTCACAAAAAAAGAAGCCTACCTGTTGACCTGCACAGCATCCCTCAGGACTTTCTCAGATAGACTGTAGCGCTGCAGCTGGTGCAGAATCAGACCCTAAAAGAAGCCCCCCCCAAAAACACAAATTAGGTCCCGATGGTTGTAAACCATTCTGTGATTAACATAAACATGTATAGATTATAAAACATGTTAGAGTTCCTGTCACCAAATACAACTGTGCACACAGACATCACAGCATTCTACATACTAGGGCACAATACAACTGCTTTCCATGTATTGAATTAATCTCAAACGTAACCCAAGTACATGCTTGCTGCTGCTGCTGCTCAGGATTGAACAGGGACAGCAGTAATCAGGTTACATAATGCATCCTCATACATGAGAGCTTTTCCAGCGGTGCTGCTCTGAGGCCTGTTGCTGAGGGTTAAAACAATGCCAGGATGAAATGACTTTAGCAAGAAACTGTTGCCATGTCCATGATTGCATGAAACACTATAAAGGCATTTCCAAAATATTTGAAGACCTTTATTTAACAGTGGGATAGATGAAAAGAAAGCATTTTAGGATGGCTGGCCATTGTTCTGGGAGAAAATAAAAATGTACGATTGGATCAGCTTCAGGGTGTATTTCAAATGCTGAATTTCACAGCAGTATTGTTAGGATTGTTCTACATATATGACCCGTTTTAGGCTGTCTGAGCATCTTCGGAAGTTTGAAGGAGGCGACGGACAAGAAGTTTGATGAACCTACAGGTTAATTTCTACAGGAATTTGTTCTGCCTAGTTTGGACTTGTTTGCCAATCCGACAGACACAGGATCTCTGTTGGAAAATGTTCAAGCTGAGCGTTGTATGCATGAAGAAATAAACAGCCATGGGTATCTAATATAAAAAGCTCTGTAATTCAGCCTTGATGATTTGGTCAAGGTTGCAATGTGAACCGGTTTAATACCTGAAGTAAAGCTCCTCCAAAGAAACCAGGAAAGTCAGACCAAGGTCAAAAGTAAAAACATGCAGAATCGTAAAGGACGCAGCAGGTGTGTTGGTGTCTTACCAGTCTCTGCATGGTTTTGACATGAGTTGGGTTGATGGACAGGGCTTCTTCGTACCATCGTTTGGCATCATCCATGTTGCCCCTCAGCTCGGCTATCTGCCCCCTCATGTACAGAACGTTGTGGGAGGTGGGGAAGAGGTTGGCAGCCTCCTGGGTGCACGCTGTGGCCTCTGCAGGTTTCGACATGCCGATGTACACCTCAGCTGTGGAGGGAAAAAAAGAGAGGAGAAAATGTTGCAGACCATTAAAAAAAGTAGATTTTTATGAGTAAAAATAAGCCCAAATGGAGACATGCTGTATTCAACCAATAGAAACGAAGCAGATTCAACTACGGGGACTTTGGTATCGAACAGGAGAAGGCAGAGCAGGGTTCTGTTATTGAACTCTATCTAAAGCTTTTATTACATCAATGATGAAGAGGGAGTGATGTCGGCAGAGCAGGAGGGAGGAAATGAACGGTCCCTCTATCTGCCCTCTAATTTGCTGATTACATTAGTCGTGTCGCCAAGCTGGAAATGAGTGCCAGATGAGGGGAAGCAGCTGGACGGATAAACAGCAGCATCAACCGCCTCTGTTAAAGGCTGTGTTTACATGTGCCGCCTGCTTCTGTTAACTTTCTGCTTCCCAAATGTCTGCTGCTGCTGCAGAGTCGGGGCTCCGGCAGGGAAATATAGCATCCAATCACTGTGCTTCCAGGAAGAGCTGACAGCAGCTCACTCACCATGTCTGTTGGATTAATATGGACAACTGGAGGACGATTTATAATCCTAGGTTTTCTAATTTGCAATTTAAAAAATTAAAAAGCCTGAACAGACAGTCTTACTAAATTTTTTAGGTGAATTTTAATACTAAAGAATTCTGACAGAAAAAGGTTGTAAAATTGGAACCAGATATCAGGTATTTTCTGTAAATTTAGAAAAATATCTTTATTTTGATTATGCTAATAGGAAAAAAAAGAGATAAAGGGCTTTATATGCATGAAAGCATCTGGTTAAAGACAAGCAACTAAAAACGTGAGCAGGATCTTGATGTTTGGCTCATCATTTACCTCCAATAGCAATTTCTGATGCAGAACAACACTTTCTGCTTCAATAACAGAAAAAATGTGTGGAAGCAGACCTGCATGTAACCAGATCTGAGCCAGGGTCATCCAGGGATGGAGGGGTCCGTGTTTGGGAGCGCTGCTCTGCAGAGAAGAGGCCACCTCTGACAGAGCCTGCTCCACCCGGCTGGCAGCTATAGATGTAGCATGCACCGAACCTGCAGGGTGAGGGAAAAAAAACCAAAACATTGCATTGTTAAAACGCACAAAAGAAGCCCTAAACGTTTAGAACGGCTGCAAAGCAGTAGAGCAAAAGAAAATTTTATTTAGTTATGCAGCCAACAGCAGAACTCACTAAACACACCTTGTGAAGCGCAACAAGGAGCTACTGTGTTTTCTCCTGCAGTAAAATAAAAGTTGAAAAACTCAAAATAGTATGCAGATCACACCACTTCACACGGTTACTGTGATGCATACATGAGTAAAAAAAATATGCATTGACTGCAACAATAAGCACTTTGGTAGCTAAAAGGCTCATTTAAAATCTGCACTGTTTACCTTCTAGGTTTGTCTACTCTGTTGTCTATTTTACTAATTTGGTTTACTCAGAGGAACCACCCATTTGTAAAAGATCAGAGAGATAAAAGATAAAAGGACTTATTCTAAGCGAAATAAAAAAGGAAACAATGGCTGCTGATAAGGGGAAGTTGAGGAAATGACAAAAGTATGTTTGGTTTACTCACCACAAAAGCAGGCTGGGAATTCTTTTTTAAAAGCCATTTTGAAAGCAATCGCTTACATTTCCGTAAGTTACAATCACAGATATCTAATGTATTTAGTCAGGATTTTATGTTTTAGAACAGCAAAGTAGTGCCTAACTTAAAATTGTGTTTCTGCAAAAAAAAAAAAAAAAAAAAAAAAAAAAAAAAAAAAAAAAAAAAAAAAAAAGTATATTGGCATATATTTCGAGTTGGCTTGGAGTTTATTGAAACTGTAAGGTTGGGTTGGGAACGCATTACTGGGGGCCAAGAGGCCCACAGACACTCTGGAGGGAGCTGCAGACATTCACAGCTCAAGCAGGAGAATCTGGACAGAACAGCCATCAGTCATACAAAAACAAAGATGCAGGATGTCCCCAGTTAGTAAAAATGCATGTAGGCGAAGCAGCATTTACACCTCTAGCAAGGTGAAGCATGGTGGTGGCAGCATCACGCTGTGGAGGTATATTCTTCACCAGGGAAAAGGAAGCTGGTTGTAGTTAATGAGAGGACAGGTGAGGATAAATACAGGTGAATGGGTGAAGAAAACCTGTTAGTGCCTGGAGAGGACCATGATGTTGAAAACGCTGAAGAGGTGTGAATACTTTAAATCATTTCCAACGCCGTGTTGGTGCTTTACAGTTTACAGTTATTTCTATAAACTGATCTAAACTCTTTCATGCCATTTTTAGATTGATCCATTTCTGCAGGCAGCTCTGTGATTTTCACTCATTCAGCTGAAAACTTTACTTCAAATAACACAAGATAACACAAGATAAGACAGACACATCTTCTGAATGACATCTTTGTTTTTTTGCATCCCCTCTTAAAGTTTGTCTTACATATACTGTAAAGTACAAGTTGTTAGAGACAAGTGTCTCAATGTTCAGTCTAAAAGCCAGACATGTGTAACAAATGGTTGGGCTCACAAACAGGAAGTTAGCTCCTGCTCTCTTTCCTGGAGTCGCTCGTGATTTGTTGGCTTTTTCCTATCCTTAAAGAGGAAATGAATGTTGGAAAAATCTACTTCCTACTCCACAATAGTATGATAAACTACGCTTCAGGTTTAACAGAATCTTTAAAAAAAACAACAACATTAAAGTCAACAAAATTTTGAATATATTACAAAAACTTAAAAAGCATCTAAATCATTTAACCATCAGTGTTCTCCTAAAGTCACAGAAATGATTCCTGTTGCCTTGTCATCAAGTTTGATTTCTCTGTCATGCACAGTCTGTCATTTTCTTTTCGATTTTTTTCTGCAAACATTTTTGAAAACAGATCTCTATCTGAACTGGGCAACCGTTCATAGTTTAACCCAGCAGCTAACAGTTGTCTGATGTGAGATGAGGAAACTCTGCGTCTCTCTAAACAAATAAAAGTAAAAACTTATAATAATTTCTACTTTCATTTAGATCAGATAAATTAACAGTTATTTATAAGAGATGTGACTTTAATCACTCTTCATTAGACTTTTTGACAAAAAGTAAATATACATTCATTCAACAATAATACCCTCCTTCATTACCCTGGACATCCGTTTTTTAATATAAATATTTAATACTTCATATATTTTTATATTTCTATGGGTTTTTTTTTGTCTTTGCTCTTAGACTTTATCTTGGCCCTTTTTCTGGTTTATGCCAATATGTCAAACATAAACATTGGTAAATATATCTTAGTTCAGTTAATCACACATATAATTCAATAAATATCTGATGAAGATTCAGCATTATCAGAAGACTTCTCCCCATCTTTATAAAAAAGAAAAAATAAATCATTACATTTATGATATATTCTTTCTCTAGATATGTTAAGAATTCTTGTCAGATGATAAATATATCAGATTAATTAATCATTCATACACTATAAAAAAAAAATATCAGTCCTCTGTTGCTTTATGGTGGTTTTAAAGCGCTTTATAAAGAAAGTTGGTAGAAATTAGTAAAGCACCATTATCTGCTACAAGCAAGATTACAAAATGAAAACTTTTATCTGAGCCTAACCAGGAAAAATCAAGTAGGCAGGGCAAAATAAAGTAGGATGAAATGACAAAAGATACTTGGAAGGCTACTTACAAACAGAAAACATGGAGGGAAAACCAAGAGTGTTAGCGTCCTGAGGGCCGCCTTGGAAAATAAAAAGCCAAAGGATGGAAAAATACAGATGCTTGTTAATGATGGAGAGGAGGAAGGAACAGAGAAAGAATAAAGAGGAAAACAAAGGTTTTCATTCTTAATATGGTGCTAAAAACACAAACAAGATCACATGTTAATAATCCCGTTTGGTCAAATAAATGATTGCAAACTACAATTAACTTAGGAAAAAAATGTTTTCCTTCGTTCTTTCTGGGTTCGTAGTGTTTATCTGGCCACCCAACTAGAACAACATGCACACACAGAGGACATTAAAGGACAATATGGGGGAAGGGGTCTGCTGTCTAAATGACAAAAATGTGAAAGGAAAAGAAAGATGTAGAGTAGTAATAAAAATACTTTCATTCCTCACAGCTTTTAATTCTAAATGAGTTTTCAGTCTTCCTCTTCTTAACTATCCAACTTTACTAAATACAAGTAGGAACACTCGTGTTCAGATGAGTTATTTCAGCATTAGTTCTATTAATCCAGATTGAAGGACCAAACTCTGATCTGACTGGACTGCTTACATTTACAGACAGGCTATATTTAAAGACCTTTAAAGATGGATTTAAACTGTTCTCTGTGTAAAATGATAATCTAGCAAAACATCCGAGGCATAACTTTGAATCTAACACAGTTTGCAGAACAATCAAGGTTGCACTATGACTAAATCTATGGCCGCCGTTTACGGAGATGCAGGATTCCCACCATTATAAACCAAGAACCAAAATCTTCAAGTTTGGCTGAAATTTCCAGCTTCCCATACAAACAACAGCGCTTATTTTTATTTTTTTTTTAGTTTTTACGGCACTATAGTGGCTTGTTTTTTCGACCATAGACTGACAGGAAAGGGGAGAGAGAGGGAGAAACATGCAGCAAAGGACCACAGGGCGAATTCAAACCCGGGTCAGCTGTATTGATAAATAAAAGCCTCTGTACATGGGTAATGCGCGCTAACCACTGTACCATTGAAGCACGCCAAAATGCAGCACTTTTACAACCTTAGGAGAAAATAAATGTATATATTGCTATTTTTATATATTGCTATTTTTGTTTTTAGAATACATTGTTTTTATGCACATTTAGATGTGCTGCACTGTCGATCTATGATTTCATAGATATCAGCACAGAGCTTCTTTTAAAAAGCCCTCAGTATCCAAATAAAATAACCGATCAAATTCTTGCAATTCATCTACCCTGCTTCAGATTCCAGACACCCATTGCAACTTTTCAAAAGGCCTCAAGATCATCTGTGTTATGTTACTAAATTTTTTTTTTTTTTTTTGGCATGTGAAGTGTGTAAGTGAGTTATGATCATTGCGGTAGGAATTTAATGCCAGGTGTGAAAAGCCTTGCAGCAAAAAGGAAATATGTCGGTGTTTGACACAGAATTGTGGGTTTCCATAAACTTGTATCGTTACAGCAACCGTGCTTTGTTTCAGCTCCCTCCTCAATAAATAGATCTGTATCTTTGGGATAATCTAGTATGCCTATTATTATTATTATTTTTTTTTTTACGTTTTACAAATATTTACACGCTAAAAGCTTGTACTATAAGGAGTTGTGAGAAAAGAACGTGCAGGTCTGCAAACTAGGCGTTTTATCGTAGCTCACTCCGCACACCATGCCAAGGAAAGGGTGCACAAGGATGCTCATTACAGTTGGAGAGCTGTCGCAGAACGATGTGGTTGTAAAACGTGTGGGTCCTGGTCTTGGTGGGTGTTGGAAGAGGACCAGGACAGGAGGGCGGAGGAGAATAAAGGGGAGGGGGGCTGGATGGGTTTCTGGCTGAAGCGACAAGGGGAGGAGGCTGGAAAAAGTAGAGAGGTGATGAAGGTGAGGACAGCGGGGAGGAAAGGGTGGACACTGTTGATGGGGAGGTTGGAGAAACTGGTTCAAAACCAGAGAGGGAAGAAGAAGAACCTGAGACTAAAATAGAGAAATTAAAACAGAAAGGAATCATTAACGAGGCACTGGATACAGAGAGAAGAGCAGAAAGACTTTCTTTTGACAGCCCTTTGACTTATTTTGGAGATGTGCGTTTAGGCCTACCAGTGTCAGGGTCACTGAAGTCGGGCAGTGTCATGGCATTGAGCTGTCGTCTGTCTGCTATGGCTCGGTCCAACAGGCTGCTGCCACGGCCTGAATCGCTGCATGGACATAAAAACAGACAGTGTTTCTGTACGACTCATAACATCAAAGATAAACAAGCATTTAGTTTCTTTAAAACTAATTTTGCACTAGTGAAGTGTCCCTGTGTTTACCTGGGGTTAGTCAGGTTGTAAAAGCTCTTCCAGATCTGCAGCATGTGTTTACAGGTGAGCAGAGCTTCCTCTGGTCCTCTACACATGGCCTCCAGCTTCACCTTGGTATACAGCAGACTACACAGAGGAGTACAATCAGCTCAGGGTCTGCCACAATGTTAGTCAGACACTAAATGATGTATGACGGGGGGGTCCTTACTTGAAGTTCTCAGGGTACTCTGACAGGGCCATCTCTATGATGTTAAGAGCATCATGGTAGTGTTTCTGGGCAGAGAGAAGCAGGGCCAGCAGGTGGAGGGAGTGGACATCGTCTCCTTGGAGTTGCAGCGCCTGTCGAACATATCCTAATGCCTCGGGGATCTAAGCACGGGCACACACAGACTACAAGTGTTCACTAGAGACAGAATAAACCACTATTTAAGTGGTAGATAGGTAAGTAGGAATATTTTTATTGTGTCTTAAATGCATTTTTTCGTTCAGTTTATTGGTGTTACCTGTCTGGATACAGCAAGCTGCAAAGCCAGATAAAAAGCTGCCAGATGGTCAGTGGGAGACAGACTCTGTGCTCTGCAGATAAAAGAGAAAAAAAAAAAGTTTAGACATGCTAGATTAAAAAACAACTTTTTAAAAACTAAAGAAACACTGCAAAACCTCTGAAAGGCTCCCAAAGCTTTCCTCTGGTACTCCTCCTGTGTGCTCCGAAGTGAAGCTGAGGAGATACAGACAAACACATGAAAGAAAACATTCAGATAAGAGCCGCAACAGAAGAAAAGGTCCAAAACCAAATGAGCCAACAGCTAATAGATCCATCTTTAGTAGCAGTAACTCAGCAGTTTTATTCCCTCAGGTTAGAGAAGTTTGTAGACTCCTAAAAAGTGATTCAAGCATAATAACACCTTGATTCTTTTTTTTTTTTTTTTTAACCTTTCTGTTGGAGATTTGTTGTTGAGTTTACGGTTGGTGTGCCTCTGATGACCAAACCTCAGATTTGTCTACTATACTTTGATGCCCAGAGGTGTTTATGGTTTACCCATTGACTACAAGGTGTTCAGATCATGCAGCTGCAAAGTAAGCCCAATCATCACTCCCTCACCTCCGTGTTTGGTAGTTAGCATGAGGTATTGGGCTGCTATGCACATAACAGGCATTATTCCAGTTTTTTGTTTTTATCTTGCACAGATTTTAGATCTAGGCTTGTTCGGTACGGCTTTGTAGAGCCAACCTTGGGTTTAGATTACTAAACAGACTTACCATCAGTGGCCTTGAGGCTGTAAACCAGACCGATTGCCAAGTAGCCTTTGCCTCTGAATTCTGCTGCTTTCTCTTCCATGTCAATCACCATCTTTGCAAACTTCTCACCTTCATCCAACTGAAATTTCAGGGCATATAGATGTAAAACAAACAAACAAAAAAAAAATATAAGAAAGAGATAGAACTGAAGGAAAGATGTTGTTGGACACATTATGTGCATTGAAGCCAAGCTTTGCCCCTCTTACCCAGTGCAGGGGACCGATGCACATTTTAACAGCCAGCAGTGGGATGGTTGGGTCGTCTGGCTTCAAGCGGATGCACTCCTTGAGAACCTTGACAGCACGAGCGGATTTGCCAGCAGCCATTAGCGACAAGGCGAGCTGGTACCACAAATGGAACTCCTCGAATGCGAACTTCATAGCTCTCTCTAAACACTAGAGACAGCAACAGAACCTGTTTTTTTTTTCCCTCTCCTTCTAGTTTACCTCAGAAACATCATTTCAGGAGTCTAATTGTGTGTTGAGTGTACGTTTTCATTTTACCTCTGACAGCATCTCATACTGCCCCCTCCTGCCCAGAGCTATGGTCAGCAGATCATACACCACAGAGGCAGACTGTAGGCTAATGATACGGTCGTTGTTGTGCTCAGGAATCCTGCTCAGGACAGCGTCCCGGTTGGCCTGAAGCACAAACAGACACGGATGTAGAAACAGAAGCTGATGTCTATAGTTTCAAAGGTGCCACTCTACAAACCATGGACTCGCTAATCAGTAGCAGCAGGAGGGCTTCCTCTGTGTTCTCCTGGGGACAAAACAGACTGAAAAAAGCAGAAGAAAGATGCAGATGGACAAGGTTGAGAAGACCAGATAGAGCCTTTTCAATAATTCGTACCAACAAAGGTCATAAAAGTGTCCTACTTCTCTCCCGAGTATACTCGTGGGCGTCGGCTTAGGGTGTAGTTCTTGCTGTAGGTAAGCCCTTTCTGTGTGGGATTATCCAACGGTGACACTGTTGGAGGATCCTCCAGAGGAGACCAGTAGCTCTGTTCACACATCCCTCGGAGCAGGATCTCTGCCAGCTGCCGGGCTATTGTCTACACATGGTTAAATGACAGATTAGTTAAAGCATTAGTAAGTAAATTTGCAAAATTTTCTCCAAAAACGAAGTAAAATTATCATGACTTTTTTATCAACAGGTACAAACTGAGGATGACCAACAAATTCTCACCATGCGAAGATTCTGGGTGGTTCTGGTTTCAACAGCCCGGAGAATCTCCCGAAACCTGCCCACACCCTGCGTCAGGTTTCTAAAAGGGAGGAAAAACACAAAGAGAGAGGAATCAGAAATATCAGACGGTGCAGACCATGAGAAACAGCAAAGCCATTCGGAGAACCTGTTTGATTTTATGTACCAAAGACAGGCATGCCAGTCTGTGACTTTAACAGGTAAAGATAATAATGCAGAGGCTTTTATGGCGTCGGGTTTCAGGTCTGACAGCTAATATAATCTTTAACTTCTGTCAGCAGAACTGTTGATCTTCTGTGCTAACTTGAGATTCTTACTTATGGGAAACGAGTCTGCTCCGTTTTAAATCCACACTGTGCGTCTCAAACTAAAAACTAGGCTCAGTGCTCATGCAGTTTTAGGATCCGTCTGAAAAGAAGGACGAAAGTTTGTTTTCAGCTGAGCCAAATGGGCAAAGCTCTTACTGGTCAGCCTTGGCGGACTGCTGGCTGGACAGATGGATAAACCAAAGGTCGGTTGGATGAATGAAAGAATAAAACCTCCCGCTTTAGATTAGTTTGCTAAACTTGAAGCTTCAACAGCTGCAGCAAGACTTAATATAATTTAACCTTTCTGAACATAAGCACCACGTAAAACTGTGAGAAAACCTCCAAGCTGAAATGTGATTCTCACTTAGTTTTATTCACACTTTTCTCCTCACATAACCATGTTTGCAGTTTTATACGATCAAAACTGCAAAGTGGGTTGAAAGTGCACCTGTGAGGACAGAGTGTAATCTCTTTAATGTGACTGGTCGCCAGGAACCATGTGAGAGCTTTTCAGCTGCCAACATGTTTTTGTTTGATTGTTCTCTTCTGGGACCTGAAACAGAATCATGTTTACGTCTGGACTTTTATATCTCACCCATTCTTGAAGTGGATGACGTGGGCTCTCTGCAGGCCTGTCTCTAGGAAGTAGCCCAGCTCCAGATCCTGAGATGTTGGTCCTGGCTTTGGGCTGCGGTTCTGAATGCCTGCTGATAAGGCCTACAGAAATAGGCACACAACAGAATGGGAGAGAAATGCTAAATAAAAAAACAAAATAGTAACTAACAAACAGGGTCTTTCTTTAGCTTCACGTCTTTGCTGTGCTTCCTTAAGTTATGTGATTCTGTGTTAAGGACTGATATGCTTGTCAGCAGGCCATTAAGAGAAGACGCAAATATGTCAAATTTGATCACAATTATGTTCATCACATTCCCACAAGAATGGCACAGCATCTTCTCCTCTTGGATAAACTTTTGACTGTTCCTGTTGTAGTCTTCCCCTCGAGTACAAACCTTCTCAGCTTCCTGGAGGTAGAGCAAAGCAATGTCTCCGGACTTTTCATAGCAGGTGATGATTTCCTGCTCCCGCTCTGCTGGGCTCCGATTGGTCGATGGAGAGTTCTTGTTCGACAGAGAGGGAGAGGAAGATGGGACCTTCTCTAAACACAAGCCTGGGAGAAATCAGAGAAACAGCAGCAAAGGTGAGGCGTACAGGCATAGATATGAATCCAGTTGGGTTACAGAGATACTTTGCTGCACCCTTGTGGAAATAAAAGGAACTGCAACAGAGATTAGCCCGGATGGGATTAGGGATGTGTAAAGGGGTGTGTTAAGAAGGTCATTAAATACAAATGCCTGAGTGTGTCTTTGTTTACCTTTGGTAGCGTAGGCCTCAGCTATCATGGACAGCCTGTACACAGGAGCTCCAACCAGCTGCATGTCATCCAGGTTCACCCGGCTGTAATGACCTGGGGAAACAACGTATCTCCATTCAACTCCAGTAATGTGGAAGCCTATTAAATCACAAGCTTCGGCTCTTCCAAGGGGCCATAGGGGGGCATTTCTGGGCATTATTAGACTCTGGGGATTTTTCAGGTCTGAATAAAATCGGGTGTCAATGAATGACCGTTTCCAGACTCTATTCTCTATGCCCTTTGCTAAGCAGGAGTTTTCTTCATATATCTGTCATACAAACCTTCACTTAATCCATTTGTTCCTCATAGTGTTTCCATTCTCCACCCACCAAGCAACTAAAAATCTGGAATTTGTTCTATTCTCCATCCATCTATCATTTTCTCATCATTTACCCATTCGTAAAAAAAAAAAAAAAAAGAAATAAAAAAAGAAACAAAAAAACAATCCAGCTCGTGAACCATAGACCACCCCATTCATCTGCTTTTGGATTATCTAGCTTTTTAAAATATTACTCAGTCTTCATTACATCCATTTTACCCTCCATCTATTCCGTGTTGATAAAAACTAGTATCGTCTTTGCAATCTCTACAATTACATCTTTTTCTAATTTTTGCAAAGCCCTAGTTCCATATTTAAAACCTGATCTATCTAAAGCAAAATATCTACCATCTATTTACGGTGATCTTTGATTTGATCTTTGACGAAAATGTATTCTGCAAATGTGCGGCCTTTTGACTGATGCTTTTTTCAGGGGCACAAATATAAGGGATACTGAAAAGGTTAAAAAACAAGGAAAATGAAATGAACCAGGACCTGAGATCAAGTACATAGGTAAATCATCAGCAAGTAAAAAAAAAAAGATTAACAGAGTCCAGAGGTGTTTAAAGTAATAAAACCAGGAAATGAAAAATAAACCAAAAGGTTACCTAAAGCATCTTTGTATTCCCCCTCTATGTAACAGATTTTGGCCATCAAAAGACTGGCTTCCTGCAAGTAATCAGCCTGGAATAAAAAATACAGATTAAAAAGAGTTTAAAACAAGCAAAAAAGTCAGATAGTCTTTAATGTATCTGTCATTCTCTTCAGGGTTTACCTTGAGGTTTCCTCGGTCTAGAGCAGCAGTAAGGTGCTTCCTCACCTCCACCAGTTTGGGTCGTGGACCCCGGGGGCTGGAGCCCTGTTTGATGGGATTTTCCTTCAAGTAAGTCTGGAGCTTAGATTCTCCCAACAGCAACTCACCTAAATCATCTAAAAAACAAACAGCATTTTAAGAGCCGAGGAAACTGATGCTGATTTTAAAGCCGAGATTTTATTTGAGTGTAGAGAGACAGAGCATAGTGCTAGCACCAGATAGAACACCAGAAGATTTTTTTTATTTTTTATAAATATACCTCATCAGAGGCTAGTCCTTTTGCATAAACGTCAGAGGATAAGAGTAACAGAGAGGCACACACATACCAAGAAGAATTAGGTGATCCGAGTCCCTGACCAGAGCTCAAAAATCCAGAGGATCAAGTTTCATTTCATAACAGAAGGATTATTCAAGAAAAAAACATTTCAAAATTACCAAAAAAGGGCTTGATGCTTATCAAAAGAGCTTGGTCATAGTCGATCATATCCAAGATTGTAAAGATGAGAAAATAAACAAATTGTACTCCACAGATAACTTGCACAGAAGGATGGATATCTGTGAGCAGAGACTTTTTCTTTCCAGATAAGCTTTAATCAAAGAGGCTTACAAACATATATATAGCAGTGGTTGAAGGTTTGCAAGCACTTTAAATGGGCAAGTATGTCATAATATCATTGACTTTCTTTGATTTTCTTAAAACTCTTCTCTTCCCATGATTGTCCAACAAACTACAATGAATTCTAAAAGCAAGACTTGAAGCAAGTTGGAATCTACAGTTGATTTACCCTAAGCCTCACAGAGTCAAAATAAAATGTACTGCTTAAATTACACATATAGATGAAAATGGTGACATTTAAATTGTAAAGCTTAAATTTGCAGCTTATTGGAAGTGCATGATGCTGCCACCACCATGCTTTATATGATGGGTTCGTAGGTTCTAAAGACTCACTTTCAAGCATCCTTCTAAATGACTGAAGCATAACAGTGCTGCCTTTTTTTATCTGAGAGATACAAGTTTATATACAACTGTATCAACATTTATTTAAAAAGAAAAAAAGAGTACCAAAATGCTTAACCAATGAATATAAATCTGTACTTTCTTTAGCTCCATACTATAAGACTATAACAATCACTGTTCCCAACAACCTAAATAAGTTGTTACATTCATGCTGATTTTGCACAGTTTCTACCTTATTCAGGTAAATAACATTCCGCTGTCATTTTGCACATCTCTGATTTTGCTAGTATTATCAAATATGCATTACTACAAAAATGTCCATAGCTGTATCTATATTGTTAAAACACTATTTTATTTTAACTCTTCACTACTATGTTTCTAAGGTCCTCCTTTGTGTGACCATTTTTCCTATAATCTTTTTGCTGCTGTAAACACCAGAATTCCCCCAATAAAGGGATTCTCTATTCTATATA